CCTGCATATCAGATATTTACATTACAATTCATAACAGTAGCAACATTACAGTTATGAAGTAGCAACGAAAATAATTTTATGGTTGGGTCACAACATGAGGAACTGTATTTACAGGGCCAGAAGGTTGAGAACCACTGGCTTAGGGAGTAAAATGGCCCTTTTTCCTTATCTCTTTTCCCCTTCTTTTCTGCTTTCTCTCATTAGGGAGGTTTTTAACCATTTGCTCTTGTGTCCTTGGCTGGGGAAGATAATGGCTTGTTAGTTACAAGCTGGCTGCAAACTGCCCACATTGTTTGACCTTGTTTTAACTTTCCTGTCTCAGTTTCCCTATTCCTCCTGCCCTGAAATCCTGTAACACTCCTTCCAGTTGTTCAACTTGTGTTGCTATTCTTTTAGTAACTCTTGAATTGACTAATAAGCTCATTTATTTTGAGTCTTAGTTAATAATGAAAACATCTGTGGCTGTTAATTTTCCTCTGAGTACTGATCTGGCCACATGACATAAGAAGAGTAGAAGTACAGTGATCTCACTATTATAATTTTTCAAAACAATCATAATTATAGTTTTCATATTTTTCTATAACCCATTAATTACTTAGAAAAGTGTTTTCTGCCCTGGCCAGTTTGACTCAGTGGATAGAGCGTTGGCCTGTAACCAAAGGGTCCCAGGTTCAATTACAGTCAGGGGCACTTGCCTTGGTTGCAGGCTCCTCCCTGGCCCTGGCCCTAGTCTCTGGTCGGGGTGCGTGCAGGAGGCAGCCAATTGATGTGTTTCTCTCACATCGATGTTTGTCTCTATCTTTCCTTCTCGTCCACTCTCTCTAACAGATCAGTGGAAAAATATCCTCAGGTAAGGATTAATAAAAAAAAGAAAGAAAAGTGTTTTCTAATTTTCTAAGTACTTTTCAGATTTAACTATAAATATATGTATATATTATATTTTAAATAGTATTCTTATTAGTCTCAAATGCATTAATACATTTTAATCTTAGAATTTATAAGTGGCAATCTGTACAATTTACCCATTATCTCAAAATATGTTTTATTAAAAACTTCAAATAAGCATCTTATAATATTCTTTTTAAAGGAATCATGAATGAACACTACACTGATAGAGTAAATTTCCTGTAATTATAATTATAAAAGCATTATCCATGACTGTTTCATATTGTTTTAAAGTAGATTAATCATGATATTAAAGAACTATGAAATGGAAAATTTCTCAAGGTAATAAGATTTTGATATCAGGATAAAGTAAATTCCTGACAATGGGCTGATGTGCTTATATGTTTGGATTTTTTTTATAACAACAAAAGAAATTGTCAGATGTGTGGCCCAACGTGGCGTGATTCAAAATATCATCTTTTATTGGTTCTGCCAGGTGAATAGAAAGACAAAACCTTAGTGACAAATGTGAAGCACTGTCAATAACTTGACTTCAAGTCCAAGGACACCACACATTACATATCACATAGAAAGTGCTAAAAATGAGTTAATTGTTAAATAGCTTGGTGGAAATCTCTATAAAATAGATGGAAAACAGTTTTAAGTAGTGAATGTCCACAGGATTTGTATCCTTGTAACTTGTTTCATACAATGCTCATTTCAGCATTCCACATATAGGAGCCTAATACCTTATTAGTAACAGTGGTAATGATGACGGGTAGTTTCAATCATTTTGAATATGTTACTATTGATTTCCAATGTTCCAAGTTTAGAGAATGCAGATAAAAAGTGAGATTACTGTTTACCATGAGCATTACGAAAAGCACTGAATCGCCTGAGACAGGAAAAAGAAATTGATTTCTCCATGTTTTTCATACTCCACGATACTCTTCAAAAGCAGTTTCTCGGCACATAGCTATTGATCTACTGCTCAGGAAGGTAAATTAAATATGAGATCACACAAACAAAAAACACGTGAGTCATTCTTTTTACTTATTCCAGATGCCTTTTAAAGTTTTAGAGTTGTAAATGCATGTGGGCATGTGTATGCTTCATTTACTGTAAGAAAACAAGAGGTAGTGAGAACTGATGTTGCTTTTGAATTTTGACCCCCAATTATCACAAACAGGAATTTTCTAAACCTATAGCACCTAAATCTACTACAGTAAATTGTGAAACCATTTAAAATATGATGTTACTTTGTACATTTTTTATGTTTTTGGAAATATATCTGGCTGTGACACGTTAAAATAATTCAAAACTTTTTATCATTGAATATGGAAATCTTTTATAAGATTTTTAAAAATCCTGCACTTTTAAAACTAGTATCTATTACAATTATTTAGCACCACTCACTAATTTTCTAGAATAGAAGTGGTAGAGTTTTAATCAAATGTGATCCTTCACCTTTTAATTGTAATGAAATTGACATATAAGAAACAATTTAAAGAGGTTTATAATAATTACCCCAATATGTTCAGAATAATTAGAGAGATAAAAAATGATTCTACTCTCTTTAAACTAAGTGAAAGTGCAGACCTTCACTTTCTACTTTTAAACTATCTATCATTAGGTTAAGATAGATATGGTGATAAAATATTTTTGCCTCATTTGCAAACTGATTCTATTTTAACCTAGTGGTTCTCAATCAAGGGCAATTTTGTCTCCAAAGAACATTTAGAGACATTTTAAGTTGGTGGAACTTCAGGGGGCTGGGAGTTCTGTGATTTCTAATAGGTAGGTGGGGCCCAGGGATGCTGCTAAACATCCTACAGCGCACAGGACAGCCTCTACAGAAAAGTGTTCTCCAGCCCCAGATAACAATAGCACCAAGTCTGAGGAGCTACTTTCACTGTGCAGATGCTTTTGGGTCAGGGACCGTGTATTCCTTCTTAGTTTCCCAGTATCAGAAACAGCAACCTAGAATCTAGTATATTGGAGACAGTTGATGCTGACACTTGGTAAATTGGCATTATTACTTTTATTGTTCACATGTATAAATAAATAAGCCAGATGTCATTCTGAGAAAAACCTCCTAGCTGTAGGTGTAGTGAGTTTTCTCATTACCTGTCTCATCTGTTCGTCCTTGAATCGGGTACCAATGATAAGGTTCAGTCTTAACTGCTGGGTGCAAGCTACTTAGGTGTGCAGTTTACCTTGAAGAGGTCTTTTTTT